AAAAAGATTTGTATTTGTTTTCTTTCTTTTTAAACAAAACACTAACGATACCAATTCCTCGGAACTGGAAATCGCAGCACACTAGATCTGGCATGTGAAAGCTGAGAAAGGGCGGAGCCCGTCCCAACCCCCGCTGTCAGATCCGTTTTCGAACCCCGAAATACGAGCCGTCTCCGAACCTCGGCAACAGAGAGACCCGCTCGGGGAACGCGAACCGAACCGTCCTCCTCGAAGAACGCCCGGCGAGAGCGGAGCGTCCTCACGGACAGCTTCTCGCAATGCACAGTCAGATCCCTCGAGAAATGACTGTTGCATGCTCCACTCCCAAACAGAAACAAAAAGCTGATGTGTGTCCCCACCCGTGATGTAACGAGGGCAGGGAACAACACAACGTCTATAATATTGCTTTGCTCGCCATAATGATAGATAGTGATATATATATTGGGCTTGACAAACAACAATAAATAGACAAGGACAGAATCACAGAGAGCGCTTGCTGAAGACTACAGAAGCTGTCGCGGTCTGTTTTCAAGGGTGCTTTATAGTTTCCTGGTCTATGACGTCACCTATGACGTATCGGGCTTCCATTGGACTGATTTTACACGTGCTTCATGACGCAATCACGCAGAGCGTTCCCACCGCGTCTCAAACGCAGCTCGAAGTTCCCTTGAAAGGGAACCGTGATATTTTCTGAGACGTTATCATACTGTGAAAATCTCATACCATTAATACAACCCTACACGGGGGATTCCCCCACCCGCTGTTAAAAAAGTAACTCAGTAACTTTTACTCTGAGTAAATTTTAAATGAGCTACTTTTTACTTTTACTTGAGTAGATTTTTAGACCAGTACTTTTACTTGTACTTAAGTAAAATTTCATTGAAGTAGTAGTACTTTTACTTGAGTAGAATATTCTATTACTCTTTCCACCTCTGCCCCAACCGACATTCTACTGACTGTAAGTAACTTTTCAACTACATGTCAAGAGTCTAATACTTTGAGAGTTGGTTGGCTTGTAGTTGCAAATTAATGATAGTTACTTGACATGTAGTTGCATAGTTCCGAGTGAGTAAAAGGTGGCTAATTCGTACGAATTCGTATGACCTCACTCGTATATGCTTTGTCTAAACCCCAGTGATGAGTAGGTTTAGGGGCGGGGTCAGGGGTAGGTCATTCGTACGAATTCATACGAATTGGGCAACTCGTAAAGTATGTAGGTCTACGATTTAGCAGAAATCTTACGAATTCGTACGATTGAGGTCGTATGAATTTATACGAATTAGCCACCTCGTAAAATTCATACAAATTGCCTTGAGATCGGGTTGGAATGTTTATAGTGGACTATCGAAATAAAGTCTAACCTAAAAAACGTATGAGATGAGGTGGATAATTGTATTATTATCCGATAAGAAAACATGCGCATAAATCATGACGGAACACATTTACTAAACCAATTCCTCGATGTGCAAAAAAAAAAAAAAAAAAAAAAACATGCGACTTTGCCTCAACAGATCATGTGATAAGTGGACTAAACAGAACCTCATCTCATCTCATTGCACACAGTATACAATGCTGAAATGCCTGAGCCAAGGTCTGTCATTAAAATGATTTGGAATAATTGCCTCCTCGAACTGTCTCACACCATTGCCTTCCCAAAAATCAGACATATGCCTCCGAACAGATGAACACATTGCATGACGTCTGCATGCTCTGAGGTAATTTAATAGGGGAAAAAAGAGATACAGTGGATTCAGGTCCATCTTCAATGTAAGTCTACGGCATTATTCAAAAAATGTTTTATCATTTACCAAGCCAAAACTATACATCTAATCACTTACAAATATAAAAAGACAACTAGGCTTAATATAATTTTTTTTTTTTTTTTTTTTGCATGCCTCTCCTCAATAAGCCTTTATATTCTTATTAGCATAGTAGGGCTCCAGACTGACTCACAGTAGGTTTGACAAAAAATAAACATATGTAACAATAATTTTAATCTTAGTTTAATCTCTGTTAAGCCGACCAGTCAGTGTCATTTTACAGTCATATTTGAAATATGGGGAACCGTTAAAGGTGCTATATGTAACTTTTCTTCTAAAATGAATCCTTTTTTTATTGCCTGTGTATGAAGGGGTTGTAATCACACATTACAATGATCCACTTGTCGGGTTTTGCTATTACCTCTGAAGGCCAGTATTCCTATTTCTATGTGAAGTCTCCGGGTCGGATTTTCTGCAAAATCCATCGGATGTGACGTGCATGCGCGCTCCCGAGCCTCTCTCCTTTTTATATACAGTCTATGCGACGGCACTGCAGCGAACGACATGTGTCTAAGAACACCAAAAAACGACCTGCCTCCAGCACAACACAGACTGCAACACAAACTCCACATAAATATAAAAAAATAAAACAAAAATGCATCTGCTGAAGCTCGTCAGGCCAAACGTGAATCATATCGACTTAGGACGAAAACACGGATCAACATCGGCAGAGCGTTTGAATTATGGAGAGATATTTTTATTGTGATAAATTACAAGTTTTCAGATATGCTGAAATAATGGTAAACTGTAATGAAATAGCAAGGTAAACTACAACATATGAAACATGAAATGCATACAAAAGACTGTTTCAGGATAACAAAAAGTAGGTGCTTTAGGATGTAACTTTTATTTTATGTACTAGATCTACTGTCTAACGTCACTCATCCCACTGCTATCATATTGTTTATAATACACATTTACAGACACGTTCAGGACAGTAATGTTACTTCCTACGATCTTACTGTTACACTGAAATTGTTCAGTCTAGTTCACTAACCGTTTTCGTATTAGTGTATAATCATGTTATACATTCACCTATGTTGACATTGCTGATTGTGAAAGATACACGGATAGTTAGTGAAATGCCTTATGCTAGATAACACCACATGTCGGCTAAATGCAGTCAATGTAACGTTATCATGGTACGAGCATGGAGCATTAGTTCAACGTCAAGCTGATAAAAGTAGCCTAATATTGTAACGTTGCAGTGGGAGTTTACATGAGTTTCCAGCATGTTGTGTGATGCTTTCTCCGGTGTGTTGAAAGTCTCAGTGTGGCCGGTACCATGAGTGTTCGAGCACGCGCAAGAGCACGAGCGCTCTTGTAAAACTTGGTTGCAATCTGAAACATCACCGATAGAGGCCGCTAAAAAATACATATAGCACCTTTAATGTGATATATAGTATATTTTAGATTTGTGAGATTTACATCAGTCTATTTACTAAATATTTACATTTTACATTTATTCATTTAGCTGACGCTTTTATCCAAAGCGACTTACAATTGCTATATATGTCAGAGGTCGCACGCCTCTGGAGCAACTAGAAGTTAAGTGTTTTGCAGAACCTCATCTCCTGTTGAACATATTTCAACAGATATCTGTTGAAATATTTCAACAGATACGTGATCAAAGTTTTGTTGAATGAATTTATAAAGGGAGGCCTAGTATTCCATAATAAATTAGATTAATCTAAAATCTAAAAAAAATCAAATATTTTACATAAAATATTACTGTTTAACGTATGATATCCAGTTTTAAGGTTGAATCGTAAGAGAACTTTATTTGGATGTTGTAACCACAATCACAACATGACAACATCCTATTTTTTTCTGTCTGGAGCTCTGCTATCAGAACTATGCAGGTGTAGAAACAGTGTAAGCAAAAACGTAGCAAAAATGTTCAAAGGCATTGAGAATGCTTTGAACCTCTTTATTTTTAGGCCCCAAATCTTAGAAAACAAACACTGGTCAGTTCACTGATTATGAGATACAAAGACTTAAGAGGTCTGTTAGCTTAAGTTGAAACATTGTTTTAAACTTGAGATTGCTGAAGCCTGCCGAGTTGAGTTTTGCTTATTTATCCTTTCAAAAAAGTCAAAAGCTTTACAATCAGTTTAATGTGAATTGTTTTTAAATAAATAAATAAATACAAATTCACCATGGGGGCATTGCCTTCACAAAGGCACAGATGGCCAATAACCCATAAACTGTGAAAGATAAGGCGCAATTCCATTGACGACCACAAGAGTAGCATTTTTCTGGTCTGCTGTCACACACAAAATAGAGCGCAGCTCAAAATACACGTCGTTTTGCTGACCTGCACATCGGACTTCAGAATAACTGGACCTGCATGATCGGTCAGTGTTGTTCTTTCCATTTAGGGAGCCGGTCAGGGGTGAAAAAAAGCTCCTCTTCCCTTTAACATCCTTCCCCCTGCTGCACATGCAGGGAGATATTCTCCAACACACAGATTCCTGCTATCCCAACATCCCCAGTTTCCCCAGGATCTTCCTCTGTTTTGACATTCCTGCTAATTTTATGGCTAATTAATTGGCGGGATGAAACTTTACCGCACAACAGCTGACCTGGACCTGAGACCACTTAACGTCTTGGCAAGAGAATCTGTGGTGTGTCATTCAACAGACATCCGAATATAGTCAGCATGATATGGGGGAAAATAAGACATGAAATGTATCATTTGATGTAAAGAACACACACACACACACACACTAGGCATCCTGACTGAAATGTAAATGCTTTGGAAAGAGTAATTTCCCTCTTGAAAAACACTCTTATTTCAATCTTTTTGTTCTCAAGTATTGAATGAATCAACATCAGGGAGCATTTCATTAATCTCAGAGCTGCCTTTTTTTGTATGAAGACATAAGAGAAGACAGTTTTAGTTTTGTTCTCCTCAGTCGAAAATGTTTTCTTTTTGTCCGTGGTTTTAGGGGAAAAAATAGCTTAAAGAGCCAAACTCATTTTGTGGCTGATCAAAAATCTTGGAGGAGGGAATCAGAGAGACGAGACCGGATTACAACTTAAACATTGCGGCCCTGAACGCTCTCGCTCTCTGTTTCTCTCAAAAGGCAACAACAATTGCAGCCACATCACCATTTTACATAAATCAGGAAAATATGCACCTAATGCATGTGTAATGATTTTGACAAGCACCCAACATTTAGTGACAACTTTATTTAGCAAAAAAAAAATGCATTGATACATTTTGATGTGTAATACAATTTCTTTAATTAAAAACTGTTTTTAAAAAGAAACAAACGTCTAGAAAGCACATGCACTCTGTGGTGTGGGAAAGTGTGTTAGTTAAATACTATATACAATTGTGTGTTTTCAATTTAATTGCTTTGATTTAATAGCTCTGAGACATTTTTTATTGCAAACTCTTTTTATTTGAAGATAATTATTACCAAAAGGGGGAGAGTTATTACCAACTCAGCATGTTCCTCAAGTGCTAAGAGGATTACAAAATTTCATGTCCACATGTCCCAATTCAAACATATTCAGCCACACAAAAGGGAAGAATGCACGATAAATTAGTCGCCAATAGATCGAAATACTTCAGATGTCATGGAAAAGTGTATTTGAAAGATATTAAGTGCAGTATAAAAGAGTCTTGAGTGGTTTTCACATACCCAGTGCAAAACGTATTTTCATTCAACCTTATATAAAATGTCTATAAAAATAGAAATAATATAAAAAGCAAATAGAAAGACATATGTATATATAGCAACAAAATATTCACATTCTTGACTTCCACGTCCCAGTACCCTCATTTGAGACCGTAAGCATACAGTAGCTGGATGGAGTCAGCAAAATTATCGGTTAAATTCGACCACAGTCTTAGAAAGTACAGGTTATCAAGACCAGAAATGACTAGTCATACTGTGAAATGCAATTTAGTGAAGTCTATATTGTGAGAACCATCCTTGACATGTATAGAGTTCAGTAAACTCCAGTGATTCGTGAAACGGTGCAAGATGATTCCCTGAAGAAGGTAACTCGAATGATTCAAAAGATCTGAGACTCGTATGTGCACCAGACTTCAGGTCTGCGTGGAGTTCGCAGTTTTATCCCGTAATGCATGCGCTGTAGTAGACGGCGCTGCTGGCGTCGGACAGGGCTGATATCAAAGCACTGCTCTCCTCGCAAGGGGCGTTCCTGCTCAATCGAGTCCTGCTTGCACTAAGGTATTGGTCAAACTCAATCCTGTCCACTTCGCCCCAGAATTCAGCCGAGGGTCCCAGCTGGTCCACAGCGTCCAGAGAGGGCGGAGCGACCTGGGCCACAGCCGAGGTCTCGGGCGGAGGAGACAGCTGGCCCAAATGAGAGGTGAAGGCGGGTTGGGGCTGACTGCTCCCGTATATCTGACCGTAATAGCCTGTAGGTGTGGGAGTGTGAGGAGCCTTGGAGGATTCTGGGAGGCTCATGTTGGGGTAGAGACTGTTAGGGTTCGTGGACTCGACCACCAGGCATTTCTCCTGCAGTGGGAGGCAGGCCAGCGGAGACTTCTGGTTGAGGTGTGGGTGGGAATGCTGGAGGTTATGGGAGTTGTGGTGAGGGTGGTGGCCAGTCTGATGGTTTGGATGCTGGTGGTAGTTTATCCATGAAGTCAGACCCACATCTTCCTGCATGTGAGGGGGGAAAAACACAGAATCTCCGCCTCCCTCCTCCAACACGTCTAGAGGGGACATCTCTGGCGTCGGCAGGCCGAAACTCTCCAGCTCTGGAGCTCCAGAGTGGTGGAGGTCTCGGAAGTGTCCCAGAGGAGGCAGCAGATGATGGGCATGGCGGTGGGGCGAGTAGGCGTCTCCGGGTCCCGGACCTCCGTGGGCCAGGCCTTGGAGGAGCAGACCCGGTTCCACTCGTTTCATCTTCTTGGGCTGTTTCTTGCGGCGAGGACGGTATTTGTAGTTGGGGTGATCCTGGAGGTGTTGCAAGCGGAGCCGTTCAGCTTCCTCCACAAACGGACGCTTGTCTAGTGTGCTCAGAGCCTTCCAGGACTGACCTAAAAACATCATCCAATCAGTGTTAGTGCTTCAGGAGTCATGCTAAATTTTGATTTAGTGGTTTATAAATATCATTTTTAACACAATATTATCTAAATTGTTCTAATTTAATACAGAAACAAACAAGTCCCAGGTTGTTGAGTCATTTGGTTATTTATAAAAAGTATTTAATTAAGCTCTCTGGAATCAATATACAAATATAATCATGCACAACCTTTTAAAATAGCTGTCACGATGATTACATTTGCAGCAGCGTTTGTTTTTGGCGAAAATAGACGTACGTAACACAAGCTGACAAGCGTGTGTGACATGAGCGAATCATTACATGTAACTGGTGCTGGGTTGTAGTATTTGAATTATTAATGGGTCAATGGCTGCAGACAATCGGCAGCTTGTGTGTCTGCCGCAGCCCTGTTATATTTAAAAAAAAAATAAGGACATCAAAACGTCTCCCAGAGAAACAGCCAAATACAAATATTGTGCAAGATTCCCAAACTTTTTAAATGACTTCTTCATGTGTGCCCAAGGCTCGTTTTCTCATTTATAATCTGAGCTGCATACTCAGTTCAGTTATATAGTAATAAACTAAATGCAAGCACGTTGCATGATTATAACATTTAGCTTGTAGTTAGATTAAACAACGAACAGCTTGATTGTAGAAGTATCAGGATGCAAATTGGGACGTGCAAAACGAGTATAATTTAAACAAAAAATACAAAAATGATCATGACCTTCATTTTATGGACCTTTTCTAAAGATTTAAGTGATAATGTGGTCATGTTTACTTGCAATTTGAAGTATTTTAAGACCAAGACCAAAAATTATTCAGCTATTAACCTCATGTTAACCTAACAGGGAACATTGTATTACATATGTTACATGCACTTACTGTAGTAATAACAGTAAATCATGCATAGCAACTAACCCTAAAGTAAATACTAGTTGTTATTTAACATTACATAGTACTTCAATGTAAAATTACAACACCTTAAAATAAAGTATTTATTTTATATCAATTTATATATTTTAATATTTTATTTGATTACTTGTTTTTTGTAATAATTAGGCAACTCAGACAATTAATGTTTTTTTTTATTTTTTACTCTTAACCTGACTTTGAAACACCCCTTTCCAAATATGCTCTGTCTGTGACATCGCACCCTGCCGAAGTACTAGTATGACCCCAGCATAACCCCCATGATGGACAGCGAATGTCTTACCCAGCATCTTACTGAGCACGGCGTTATGCAGGTCCGGGTTCTGGACGGCCAGACGTTTTCGTTCATCTTTTGCCCACACCATGAAGGCATTCATAGGCCTCCTGATCCTCGACTCCCCCCCTGATTTCCCCTCACCGGGGCCCAAGGTCAGAGCTCCAGGGCGGGTTGAGTCCGGGCTTCCCGTCCTGACCTCTGCTGCGGACCCTCCGATCCGGGACCCAGTCCGCGTTCCAGAGCCGGGCACCGGCGCCAGCTCTGTGGTCCGGCTGCGGTCAAAACCATGTCCCCGGTCAGGGCCCAGAGTGCTGGAGGAGGCACCCCATGTCCCGCGCTCCACAACCTGGCTGGGCTGAGAACTGGCCTCTTGACAGCAACTAGACTCAGATATATTCATTCCAGCAAGACCACCACGGTTAAAGCAAGCTGTTGTCTTTGGATAGAAGAAACACCAGGACGCCTTTATGCTACTTTAAGTTACTTTAAATACAGACTGACCACTAACACAAATGAAACGAATCGTAAAACAAGGGAGAAAAAAAGGAAAAGTTAGAAAAGGCTTTGATTTGGATGTTTCAGAAGTATAAAATCCCCACAGATGTTAGTGTTTTGTTACTCCTGCCCTCCAGACGGTATACAGTTCTTGTGCTGAGTTTGAAAGTTGTAGTGAGTTTTGGTGAACCCATGCTGTAAATATATACGTGGCCTGAGCCAATCAGAGCGTTGTCCCGGACAGAAGAGGCGGGAGGGTTAGCCAGTGGGAGTTCTCCTGCCCCCCTTTACAGCCTCCACAGACAGAGAGATGTAATCTGAGAGGGCCATTGTTTTAGACCTGCTGTACACACACTCATATAGGGCACATACACTAAATCATAACACACTTGCGCACACACACAAACCCTGTTTGTACTGGGGGGGGGGGGGGGGGGGGGGGGGGGGGGTGCTTGGGACCGCAAAGAAAGCTGTGCACTTGAGTGTTAACAACTTGTAACAATGAGCGTGAATGTAAAGATATGCCAGTTAACACAAAGTGAAGAAAACACACAAACCCAACACACGCACACATACTAATGTTGGATAACCTTTGCCCTGAATATAAAGCAAAGCCTGATCTCTGGTTTCTTGGTAGCATGAAATAACTACTGTATACTTAAAGTGATTTATAGACAGTTTTCACAGCTAAATATTTGTGGTCAACCCATAATTTATTTAAAAATAGTTTTTACCCTAGAAAAATTTGTTCTTCCATATGTGACCCTTAAAAATTACTTACTTTGGTGTAACCCAATATAGTCCAGTTAATTTAGTCACATTCTATAATATACATGACTTAAGTATAACTGGATAGTTAAGAAGCATATATTGTATTTAGGTAATGAGCTACAACATTTTCTTACAGTGTAGCTATATATATATATATATATATATATATATATACGATTTAAAATATATATACTGAGGCGTTATTCCCTGTCTGGGTTTGTATGCAAACATGTAAGTATTTTGTATTGCTCATCTAAACATTATTGTCATTATTGTCTGCTGTGCTCTGGGTGACTGTGGCATTTATTGCACAGCTGTTAGTGAAAAAATGCAGGCATTATACAGCTGCGATTACAATGAACTTCACACTTCACAATGAGCTCCATTAACTTCATGCGAGTAAAAATGAGAATATAAAAATAATTATGTTTGCCGATGATGTGAAAGAGAGTAGACCAATCTCCATCACTCCTGATATTATAAAAATAGAAGAAACACTGAGAGTTGGTTGGGTCGGGAAGGCCGACCTCTTAATGAGATGGGATGTTGGCCTGCCTCTCTTCTTTGAGAAGGGTCACGGTCAACAACAGTTGAACACAATCACTTAACCTCATCTAACTCAAGAGGATGTGAAAGTTAAAGACCTTCACTCTTAACGTTACACGTAGTTCCACACACAAACCGATGGTGAAAAACGATGTGCATGTGTTTAAAACCAAGTGCATGTGTAAAAAAATGAAAGATTGCTTTTGATTTATCTTATAAGAATGTGGAGTAACCACATTTAAACGTTCTCAAACGTCCATGTGAAAACCACAAATTAGTCCTTTGGTTTCTTGTCTCCACACCTATGCAATTCATCCAGTCTTAGACGGCTGCATTCAGCCAATTTCTCCCCCCATTGAGCACTTCATCAATATTCTCGACTCTATGAATAAATGCAAGGTGAGGCATGAGAGTTCAGGCCGCACAGAATCGCACTGAGAGGGAAATGGAGTTTTATGTGCATGTGAAGTGGATTCAGCTCCATTAGTACAGTAGGCAGCTCAGGCACAGGCCACAAAAGGCCACAAGAGGCTTTTTATTGTTTTATCTATGAGGACGTGTCATCATTTTCTGAAATATAATGGCCCTGGCATTTGCCTTTGGGAAGATGAGAGAGCTATTATGCACAGAGGGTGATGGGTGTAAGAAGGGAAATGTGCAGCTGCTAATGTGCAGTTACCTTTAGAAGTTTGTTCTACTTGATCTGAGCTTAAAATGACTGTCATCGGTGTGCATTAATGCAGTCAGGTGAAGGAAGGGGCCATTAACAGAGAACGTGATTCTGCGTTTAAAAACATTAGATGCGGAGCAAAGGAATGATTAAAAGTAGGATTTTCTTTAAGTTGAGCTGCAGGTTTTAAGCGCAAAAGGTCAAACACGTCCGTCTAGCGCAAGTTTACATAGAAAAACAATGGAAAAGCTGCACAGTGGAATGCAAAAACATGCCACTTAAGTCATTTTAAATAATATATCGAACAAAAACATTTTATTAATTTAGATGTTATTACATGAAACACACTTTTTAGGTTACCTGACAGTAATGGACAGTTTTGGCATTAGATTTATGAGAAATATTTCTGAGAATAATTTGATTTGTCTGAGCTGCCTAATGCATTTGATATAATATAAAAAGATGGTTAATGGGAAGTGAATAGAGGAACAAATGTATCTCTGCTCTTGTTTATAAGTTTATAATGAATATAACAGATTAAACATGATCATATCATTTTGAATTATACTTTTGAAAATCGAAGTTAAGAAATAGAAAATTCAAGCAGTGGGCACATTTCATTTAAGAAATGTTAAAACTGGCATGAATTGAAAATTCACACTATGTATTTTAGGAGCTCCATAATTTTTTTTTTTTTTTTTATCTGTTTCACAACAGAATAAAAGATCTGGCCCAACATCTGTTACATTAAAGGTTTGTAAAGAAAATGTGCTAAATAGTTGTGAAAAAATTGAAAAGTCTGAAACATGATGTAGGTTTATTTTTATTGCAAAATGTTATTTTCTTTTTTTTTCTTTAGATGTTTTTTTTTTTTTTTTTAATACACTTTAAAAAAAAATCTAATTACTTGCCAGATTTTTTTTTTTATTATGATAAAAAAAAAAATGTTATGGTAATTTTACATGGTTAAGGGGAATTTCTTAGTGTTGTGCTTAAAACACCCTTTGGTCTTGTTAAAATCAACTGTATCACACTGCCTATTGTGTTATATTTCTTTGGTATGTTAACTCACTAAAAATGCAGCTGGAAAACCTGCACTAAGTAAAAAACAAAAAAGGTTTAAAAGCTTTAAAAGACAAACTGCCCATTAGATCTGGCATGGCATGGATATAACTGTGATATAGCATGTTTGTGATACATGCTTCTGCTGCGTCAGTGATTTACCGGCAAATGTTGTGTGGGCCGTGTGGACGGGAAGGTCTCTCCCTCTCTTAGATGGTGAAAGTTGGCTACGTGACAGTGGTCTTCGCCTGGCTGTCTGCTCCGCCATTCCCCCCTGGACATTCTCACAGTAAATGTGTGTGCGGCCGTCCCACCATTCCTCCAGTCCACCTCCTGCCGCCCCACCACCTCCAGAAACAGGAAGTCAGGGATGTTCCTGCGGGCCGTCGTGACGGGACCTGATAAGATCGAGAGATACCGCGGGAGAGAAAGAGAGGGAATGCTGGGGAAAAGAAAGGACAGCTGACCTTTGACCTGCCCGACCCCTGGGGTCCTCTTCTGGAGGTGCCCGGTTTGGTGTGGCAGAACGCTGGACTCCTGCCCGCCGAGAGCGACAGCACTCCCACATCAACGCTGTCTGCCGCTGTCTCTGTGTCTATGTGAAAGAACGAGAGAGACGGGCACCACACCTACACCACAGCGGAAATTTGGCCAAGACTCCAGACTGAGCGGCTAGAGGAGGAGAACTTCACAACACTCTCTCATCTTTTATTTCTCTATTTACTGCAGTGGGAGGACAAACACAGACACAATACCACACACACAAACACACACACACACACACACACACACACACACACACACACACACACACAGACACACACACACACACACACACACACACACACACACACACACACACACACACACACACACACACACACACACAAATACAGGCATTTTGATGAACAAAGACTCTGTTAATGAGTGTGTGCTTTGATTAATTATGAATACGTTGAAGTAGGTCCAAATGAGTGTATTTATAAGGGTGTGTGTGTGTGTGTGTGGTGGCAAAGGTTTTATGAAATATTCAGGCACTATTTTCTACCACTTGATGAAGGGAAGTTAGTGCTGCTGGATGGAAGCAGCTCTGTTTGGGAATCCCCCATGTGAACAATATTCTCACACACACTGAAACAATTGATATCCATACAATAACACATCCACACACATGCAGATTTTCATTAACGTTTACTCCAGCCACTCTACTCTTATGACTTACATTTATTGATTTAGCTAACATTTAGCATTATAATATTGATGAAAACTGCTTTATATTTTGTAATTATATTTACGTCTTGCAAATCTAGACTGTTTACTATCATTACCGGAAGATTGAGAACAGCCCAAAAAAAAAAAAAGGCTTCTTTTTAAGCCAGCATGAATAAGCCTTCACAATCCATTTTAATTCTGCAATCCGACGTACAAATAAATTATTTTGGACTTTCAGAATGATTTCTGAAGGATTATGTGACACTCAAGACTGGAGTAATGATGATGAAAATTCAGATGTGCCCTCACAGGAATAAATTACATTTTAACATATATTGAAATACAGAATATAATATATATATATATATATAATATTTCACAATATTACTGTATTTTTGATCAAATAAAATGCAGCCTTGGTGAGCATAAGAATCAAAATCTAAAAAAAAAAAAAAATCTCACAGACCTCAAAAATCAGGTACATGAATTTATTTTCGCAAGTCTGTTGCAGGTGGCTTTAGGGGCGGGGCATTCTTATTCTATAGAGCATCTTGATTGGACAAAAATCAGTGTTGTGCAGTATGAGTCATCAATATTTTTGCACCGTTTTTGTGGAAGAGAAATACTTTTAAATGCGTATACCCACTAAAGTGACTTTTTTCAGCTTTTGGGAATATTCAAGTGCAGATGGCCTCAATAAACACTGATTAAAAAGCTACACAATTTTGATTGAATGAGGTCTTTAAGAATGTCAATTTTATTTCCAAAGTTGAACTATTTTTAATGTTGCTACAGACAGACATCACATCACATTTCTCTCTCTGTCTCTCTCTCTCTCAGCCTGTCTTCCACATTCCTGTCTGATGATCCCATCTGAATAATCTGAGGACAAAACTGAAGCCCTCTGTTAGGAAGTGACTAAATTAAGCCTTGCCTGTCAGTGTCTCTCTCTCTTTCCCTTATGTTTAATAATCATATATGAGTGTCTTACAGAGTTTTGAGGTGTGGCGGAGCGTATGGGTCACTTTCCCAGGGTACACCTCTTCTATCTGCAGCCTGCAGCCGCGCTCCATCTCCCTGTTACCTTCCTCTGGCCCTCTGACCGGTCATGTTATGATAGTGACTTGGCTTGAGACAAAGGAAGTCAGAGCTATTTATTTAAATAAATCTTTTTTTTTTCTAAAGGAACAGAATGGGGAATCAAAGTCATCTCACACAGATAAACAATGCTAGGCTAGTGAGGCTGATTAGCGCCCGGGTTTGTGTCTAAGAATATCCACTCGCTGACAGTGCAGTTGCGGTGCGGGAACAGGCAGACGGAAGTGCAGTGTATTCAGCGCTGTGGCTGTGTCACAGAGACAGAGAGGATGAAAACGGCTTTGGGAGGCAAAACCATTGATGTGTGAGTGTCATTAAAACCCTGAACTGTGGGTTCAAACCGGGCTAAATGACAAACTATAAGAGCCGTTTTGGAGCCGTTTATAAGGGTGAGGAATCTAGCCTACAGCTACTATCAGGTCGACCTGGTGGACCAAAGAACGCAAAAGGAAAACACAATAGGAAAACTAAAAACTGCTGTGATGTGCTAAATGAGTCTAAGGGTGTGTTCACACTTGTAGTTCGGTTCCCTTGGTTCGTTTGGTCTGGACTAAAAAAAAAAATAAGTGGAAAAGTTGTAAAATAAGTGGAAAAAAATAAGAGGAAAAGTGGTGGTCCGCTTAGCGTTCACATTGGCATTTTTAACACCGGACCTAAAGATACCGAACCTAAATCATAGGGATATGTTCACAGCCTCACTTTTATGACACATTTAGAAACGTAACAATTTTGCGTGCTGGGCTAAATGCGCTCGTTGTTTGTGCGTAGCCTACCCATATGATGGTATTTTGACCAGCTGGTAACTCGTGAAGAGCTTTTAAGATGTGTAAAGGAGACAAAACAGCAGCAGAAATCCCTCCGTCACACACACAAACAAAGATCTGCTGCGAGGAGACTGTGGTGGGACACATCGCAACCATGACAAGAAAAAAAAACTTGAGCAGTCTGTCATTTTTAGGGTCCCATCTTGTGACACCATGTCCTGTTTTTGGTTCGTTTACATGTCTGTGGTCCGTGTGGCATTCACATTTCTTTCGAACCGCACCAGAGTTAATTTGATTCATTTAACAGGAATTAAAATTTTATGAAATCACTTGATTGATAAGGCTCATGTGACTTTTATCTTAATAAAATGTGATCCTACCATTTTTGGTTATAGTGATATAGCTGACAATAATATTTATACGCATATACAGCCCGATCTCACGGCAATTCGTCCGAATTTTACGAGGTGGCTAATTCGTACTAATTCATACGACCTCACTCGAACAAATTCGTACGATTTTTGCTAATTCGTACATATTTTACGAGTTAGGGTTAGGCTAACCCTAACCCTAACCCAAATTCGTATGAATCCGTACGGATGACCTACCCCTGATCCCGCCCCTAAACCTACCCATCACGTGGTTTTAGACAAATCGTACAAATTCGCACGAGTGAGGTCGTATGAATTAGTACGAATTAGCCACCTTTTGATCACTCGTACGAATTGGTCGTGAGATAGCGTTGGCATATACTATATTTTGTGAACATTCTACAAATATCACAATGTAACAATGTAAAACGTAAAATGCAGAAAATTCCAATAGACATTTTTCATTATGACTATTATTTATTTACTTACTTTTGATGTATTATTATTGTTATTTTAGGGAATTATGTAATTTTATTTGTGTCTAATATTTGATAGTATTAAATATGTACAAAAAAGCAAAAACTATGGTATAAAAACTGTGAAACATGGCACCATGCATTTGTTACATTACCTATTTCTACCTGATCTTAAAAAATACTTTTGTAGGTGTAACATAATGCTATTCCGTTATGTCAAATACTATTTCTCACTGGAGTTTTTTGAGGTTTCCTGTCAAAACCTTTTTTACAGAGATTTTTTTGGCTATTTACATTGAGTCCTATTGCGATATGCCGCTATTTCACACATTCCGCCTTGTCTTGAAATCAGAGGTTTGAGGGTTTTTATGTTAACCACATCTTGTTAACCACAAACTCGCAATTAGTATCATAATACTGTTATATATACACTAAGAATGTGAACCACGCCTTTAAACACTTGACAGCTGTTCGCCTCATGACACTTCAACATTAAACCTATCAATCATTATTTCAAAGCAATTATTACTATTACTATTAAAACAAGTCTGGCAAATATATAGGCCATAGTAAAACTGAGTTCAAGCATTTAATGAACTGGCGCTCAACCCTGGAAGGTTAATTCTCCTGATATTTTTTAGTGTTTTATCTCAGTCTGCTGGTTAAGCAATGGCTGAAATACGAACAATACATTGATTTTTTGATATAAGCCGAGGGTGGCACGATTTATGATGCAGCCTCACGATAAGACACGGCTTTGGGAGGAATCTTGCAAAGTTTCACGTATTCCTGCGCTACACAACAAATAGATCTGGGAATGTTTTGTCTGCTGTGTTTTTCTGTCTTTCATTTCTCATTTCATGCTGTAAACTCTTAAACTCAGACTCTTGTATATTTCCGGAACCAATCTCTCTTTTCCATCTATATGCTCGGGAGGGCTTGTTTAATTCAATAAGACGAGCTGGTGTGCAGATAACCAGCCTGCTTTTGTAATTCCACTGTGGGAGCGTAAATCAGATGTGGCGATTTCTTAGGTCAATGCTATCAGCGCAGGACACACAGGGACTTGGCCCAAACTCCTGAGCGCAGCGATCACAGATTGCAACAAAGACGGAGCACGACAGGACGTCAGCTGACCTTCTATCAGCAAAAGAGTTTGCGTGGTCAGGCATGACCTGCAGGTCAAAGGAGGGCTCACCCAAATACACGGGAGAGAAGGGAACAGAGGTTTGTTGCACTTTGCCACTGTTCTTGACTTCTGTTATGAGTCCAGATTTTTGGCAACACTTTACGGTGAGCATGTTACATATTAAATTGGGGTTACACTTTATTTGGTAACACTTTATTTGACAGTGTCCTTGTCACATAATGTTACATGTACTTACCATAGTAATAACAGTAAATTATGTTGTTAATTAATATTACTCAGTACTGTATAATTACACCTTAAAAAGTGTAAAGTGTAACCCTTTCTTTTAAAGTGTCAGTATTACAGTGTAATTATACATTTAAGTACTGAGTAATAACAATTAACTACATGTAAATGCAATAGGGTAAGGGTTAGGATAAGGGTTTGCTTTAGGGTTAATTGCATGTAATTATGTATAGTTTTTAGTTATTACTACAGTAATGCAAAACATGTAACAACGACACTGTAAAATAAAGTGTTAAATTGGTAAAACCAGCACTAAAACTAGAAAAGAGTGTTACAGGTAATGTGTTACACCTCGTTTTTAACATATAGATACATTTTATTAACACTTTATGGTAACACTTTATATTACAGTGTCCTTGTTACACATGCTGCATAGTAATAACTATAAATTATGCATAGTTATATGCAATTAACCCTAAACCATCCCTAT